TTAGGAGCATTGGCACAGACTCCTGCTTACTATTAGGGGGCCACAAAGCTGGAAAAAGAAGGCTTGACAGCGCTGGCGAGAGAGAGAGAGAGAGAGGGAGAGAGAGAGAGAGGGAGGGACAGGGAGGGACAGAGAGGGACAGAGAGGGACAGAGAGGGACAGAGAGGGACAGAGAGGGACAAAGAGGGACAGAGAGGGAGAACCAGGGTCTCGCGGTCTCGCCGAAGAGAGAGAGGGAGAGAGGTATTTTTTGGGGAGGATTGGAGATGTTTTTAATATTAGGGGGAATTCGGGTTATTTTTGCTGTCCCCCTAATACACCTAAAATGTGGGGCACCCCCGACTGTGGACCCACGAGTATTGAATTTCAAAGGGAGCAATTTCAAAACGCTACTAACAATTTTTTGGGGTCGGGCACATGTGTTTTTATTAATTGGGGTACGTTTATTAATAGTAACTCGGGATTAGACAAACCTAGACATAACTAAAACACTCTAAACATGTTCGGCTGTAAGATTTGCAGCCAAAACCGCACGGTGTCATGTTGTTCAAACCGCACACTGCTCACCTGAGTCATTCATCGACCTTCACCCACCTTTTTCACCCAAACCGAGGCAACCACCTGTTCCTCACGCATGGGCGCTCCACCCACAGCCACGAGCGCTGTGGGCGTTCCACCTTCCGGATCTCCAGGCGCGACGGAAGGATCGGCGCCTCGGGCCGGCGGATGTGGCATCGGTTTGCACGAAAGAGAGATCACTAAGCTTACTCAGGACCCAGAACATGCCAGAACATAGTGCGGCTCTTTTGTGGCGCTCCAAACATCTACGGTAATGTTGGATCCTGATTAGTAAATAGGGGCTCCCCCCCCCCCCCCCTCAAACAAACAGGAGGTCCTCTATAATAAACTATCACCAAAACAAATCTGGATTCCTGGTGAGGGATCTTTTGTAATTGATTGTAGTATTCATTATCCTTTTGCTTTGCAGCCTCAGTACTTCAGCTCAAGAGAAGCCTCAGATCTTCAGCTTTCATGGCTTCCTTCTCAGATGAAGTCCTGGTGAGGGATCTTTTTGGTTCTGAGACCATATATCAGCTAATGAATCATAATCATTGGCCTCAGGAGCTAAGTAAAGGGAGATTCCATGTGCATTTTTTCCAGTGGAAAAAACTTTTCACAATAGAGGCCCCAAAAACAAATTTAT